CCCTGCCATACCTCCTCTCCTTGCTCCATCCTCTATCCTGGTGCCTGCTGCCCCCCAACTCCTCACCCTCCTCTGCTATCCTGACTCCTGCCTGTCTCACTGCCCTCAGCCCTCCTGCAATCTGCCCCCCTCCACCAGCCCTTCTCTGCCCCCTGTGCCCACTCGTCCAGTAGCCCCACTCTGATCATGTGAGCTACCCCTCCTCATCCTCTCTCCTGACACCTCCCTCTACACACCTGCCCTGCCTCTCCCCTCTGGTGCTGGTCCCTCCCTTGCAGGTGTCTGCCCTTCTGCTTCACCCCAGAAACCCCTGGCACCTGCACCTTCCTTTAGCCCTGCATCCTCCTGGTGCCTCCCCCTTCTCCCTGATGCCCACCCCCTCACCACTCTCTGCCCCCATTCCCCTCATACTCCTGTGCCCTCACACAGGACTTGCTCCATCTCCACCTCACACCCACCCCTTCTTTCAAGCCTTCTCCCAGCACCTTCCTCTACCCTCCCCCAGCCTCCAATGCCCTTACTCTCTCCACTCCCAGTTTCCCCCCTCCCAAAGACACCTCCCCTCCTGCCCTTTTCCTCATTGTCTGCACTTGGCCCCCTGGCATTTGTCTCTCCTCCATGCTGTCCCTTGGTGCCTTCCTCTTTCTTCCCCTATTCTCCCGCTCCCCACAAACCCCTTCCTCCCCCATCCCTTCTCCTATTTTCCCCCTCCCCGCAAGCCCTTTCCTCCCCCATGCCTTCTCCTATTTTCTCCCCCTCACCTTACCTTCTGCCTTCCACTTTGCAGGGCCAGAGTCTGCGCTCTGGCCCCAGATGTCCCTGGACTCTGAACCCAGAGCCAGGCTCCACAGTGCAATACTGCGCCAGGCAGTTTTATAGTCCCAGGCCATGACATCACGTCATGCCATGCCCGGGCATCTCCCTGCTTACTGGTAAACACTGCACATGGCAGCAGCAGCCGGACTGAAAGCTGCACATGGCAGGGATGGGATGGGTCAGGGTCGGGGGGGGAGGACACTCTGGGGCCGGGGTGGGAGGACATGCGAGGGGGCTGGCAGGTGGCGGCCGAAGCCCGCTCCAGGCAGGGCCAGGGGAGAGACCTAGCTCCAAATATTGCTGGAGCAGGGGCACCATGAGCCCATATAGCTCGCCGCTCATGGTTGTGGGGTCCCAAATTGTTAGTGCTAAATGGAGGAATTGTGAGATGATCACTAATGCTTGCAGTTATTGGGAGAATCTGATAGAGGGAGCGGCAGGGGGATGGGGGGGAAGGGGACTAGTAGACTAGTCTTTAGCATCTTCAGGTGAAAGTGCTGCAGGGAGCACAGGGGCATAGCTGGAGAGGAAATTCCATCAACTACTTAATTAGCTGATTAAATGTGATTTAACATTCCTAGCTGCTACCTGACAGAAGGGTTACACATATTGCTTGGTAATTGGGGAGCAAGTAGTATGGCAGAGCTATCTAGGGTGACTAGTCATTATCTACGCTTATTTTCCTATCTACAATGTAACAATTTTGTATTTTTTCCAGATCACCACCAGAAACATTAAAAAGCATAAGGCTAAGAGAACAAATCATTGTGGTATGCCAGTAGAAACACAATCAATGAATAAGCCTACATTTACATTGAGACCTGCAATTTAGCCAGCTATTAATCCATTTAATGTATTCTATGTTCATTTTCTTCTGGCTTCGTAACCAAGTCAAGCACATTCCAGAAATCAAACAATACCACATCAACAGTATTACCCTTTTATTAATGAGACTACAAGTTTCGTTGATAAAGGTATTAATTTTGTCTGCTTTCCATAATGGCTGACTTTAATTTTAATGATTTTCTTTATCTCGGTGTTAATCTGGACTCTTTTCAGCCATTCCTTTTTTTGCTGAGGACCAAGTTCACATTAATAGATGTACAATTGCTCAGACAGCACACCAGAAGAGAAAACCAAAACTCAAAGATGGAGGTGAGAAAAAAAAACAATCCCCCCCCCCAAAAAACGAAGATTAAATTACTTCCATTGTATTACAATAAGCATATCTAACAAAAAAGGCCGGACCATTGGATTCTCCTATGACAACTATAATTGTGTGACATTTTTACAAGGTTTATGCGAATCAATTTTGCTTTTGGTCATCATAACACCATGCTTTTATTCAACTTACCTACAATGAAACAAGGACTTGTCAGCCAGCCAGAAGGATATTCTGCATAATTACTTAAACTCCGGCCTTGCAAATATCCATTATAGGTACAAAATATAAGTGCTAATGCAAAAGTAATGAATGGTGTTGGCTTTCCTCCACGAATCAAGAAAGGAAAAATGAGTGCCCTGCAACAAATAGGAAAAGAAACAATTTTAGAGTACCAAGTAACTATTCCTGCAACAACCAGGTAACATGTGTTTTAAGAATCCAAACCTACAATCCTTGGGCTCACAAAACTCCCTCAGAATTTTGCTTAAGATGATAAATGAGCAAAGGGCTAAAGCATAGACAAAGCAACAAACATGAATTTTCCCATTTACTATGTTTGGACTGCATGACCAGGTACAAACAGGCAAATTTAATCTTTACCAAACAAACTTATTTTAGTAAGTTCTTTACTGAAGATAAATAAAAACTAATATTCAATACATTTTAGTTTTATGGTAAACTTATTATATTTAAGTTGGATCTAGACTTCCAGCACTCCAGTCATCTGAAGAAGTGTGTTGTGCCTATGAAAGCTCATGATACCATGTACACATTTTGTTAGTCTTTAAAGTGCTACTAGACTAGTTGCTGTTTAAGTTTTTCCTGTTACAGACTAACTCGGCTACCCTTCTGAAGCGGTTATATTTAGTAAAGCTACTTAGCTTCTTGCTTGGAAAAGGACTATATGCAGCTGGTCTCTAAGTTTCAACTCACATTATGTGCTACATAAGCTAGGGGGAAGCAGTATGAACAGGGGCGGCCCGTCCATATAGGCAAACTAGGTGGTCGCCTAGGGTGCCAAGCTAAATGGGGCACCAAATGGTGGTGCAATATCATTGAGGGGTTTGGAGATGGGGGCGCCGATTGCATGGTTTGCCTAGGGCGCCAGTTGCTGGCAGCTAGTCTAGGGCCACCCCTGAATATGAAGACTACTTCTCTTAACTCTAAGGGACCTCAACAGGTTGCCTCTGGAAAGCTGATTTGGCAGATGCATCTTCCAATTCTTGTTTTGTTTTGTCACTCTCTTCTCATTAAGTATCCAGCCTCTGAAAAAAAAATCAGTTATTCTGAAGGTCTATTATAAATTAATGGAGATTGCCTATCTCCTAGAACTGGAAGGGACCTTGGGTCATCGAGTCCAGAGTCCAGTCCCCTGCCTTCACAGAAGAACCAAGTACCATCCCTGACAAATTTTTGCCCCAAATCCCTAAATGGCCTCCACAAGAATTGAACTCACAACCCTGGGTTTAGCACACCACTGCTCAAACCACTAAGCTATCTCTCCCTCAGTCTTTAACTGAGCCTCCAAAACAAACAAACACACACCAAATCATCAGTCATTACAAGAATGACTATTTGGCCTCAATTGCTAACAGGTTTTGTAGGAAATAAGGGCATTGCACACCTCCACTTGCATTCCATCTGTGAAAATGTGGAAAACTGCTCGAACAACATTCCAGAAAAAAAACATTAAATAATATCTGAAATCTTGATAATGTACCATTTTCCTATAACCAACCTCTGATCCCAAAAGATCTTTTTAGTCAAATTATGTAGTCGTTAAAAGAGCACTCCTGAAATCTATTTGGCATGGATACAAAAGCAACAGGCCTTGGGGGAACAAATTTAGGTTTTACAAGATCAGGTAACCATCACTCCATTCTCAGAGCTAGTATGAAAACCTGGGGTATAGGTTCCTCAGTGCTGTGATCCACAGAGCCACACTACCTGCTCCAGTGAAACATACCCTGCTTTCTCAAATGTTTTTACATACTGGTATGTTTTCCGTTATATACATTTTCAGTTTGCTGAACTTGCTACTGCCCCGCACCTGTATCTTAAGGCAACTGTAAGGGTGCATCTAGACAGCACTGTTATTTCAGAACAATGGGACTGTCTACCCAGCAATTCAATTTCAAAATAAGCCAGCCATTATTTTGAAATCTGTAAACAAGGAATAATGCCCATTTCAAAATAGCTATTTTGAACTAGGGCCTGTGTAGATGTGACCAGCTGGAATTATTTGGAAATAAGGGGCCTCCAGGAAATCACACAGAATAGTTCAGAAATTTGCCCTTCGAGAAGACGCCACCTTCCCGCGTCCCCAATACCAGACAAGTCGTCTCTGTTTCTGTAGCGGGGCCGGTGTAGTGAGCAAAACACTAACTTCTCCGAATTTGCTACTTTGGGTGCACTGAGCATGCGCACCCGAACTGAGCAACCTCAGTGTCCCTCGCTGTAGCCGCTGCCCTCTCTCTGCCCTCAGTGCTTTGTAGGATTTGCTTCCTCCTCTTCAGAGGTGTTTAAAATTATTATTGTGGGCGAATTTCAACGGGGTGTGTGTCATGGTCTGATCAGGGGGCAAACATTTACTGGCTGGGGGGTCAAGCTGCTTTTTTAGCTGCTGAAGAGGGGCTAAATTTGAAGCGAATTTCAACGGGGTGTGTGTCATGGTCTGATCAGGGGGCAAACATTTACTGGCTGGGGGGTCAAGCTGCTTTTTTAGCTGCTGAAGAGGGGCTAAATTTGAAAAATCGGGGGATAGGGGGGTGGTAGCCGTGGTTAAGCCCGGGCGGGGGGACACTGCCAGACCCTGTGCATGGACAAATATCCTTGTAAATATCGTTTTGCCAGGGGTGCAAAGTCTTTTTTTTCTTTCTTTTCCCTGGATGCTGCCTGTCAGCCCCCGAGCAGGGGGCGGGCTCCTGTGCTTGAGTTCTTAAAGGCACAGGCCTCCCAATTCCTAGACGGTCAATGCTTAGCCACCACTGTTCCTCTGTATGTGTACAAGTGTGAAATATTCTACAGACAGTTCCTGTCTCAAACTCTGCCTCTCACTTTTGGAGTATTTAATAGTTTTCTCTTGGTTAGTTCGAATTACTGAAGTCACTGCATCTCCTTTCTTTTGTGTACTATGCTGATGTGCTAAAGTCCCTCCCATCCACACCCTCTCCTGTACTGCAATCCCCTGACCCATGGCAGAGCCCGCACCCGTCCCCCAAGCTCCCGCTAGCATGCACCCCTCTTGCACCCAAACTCCGTCCCAGATCCTGAGCCCCAAACATGGCCAAGTATTGGAGGGGTAGCCGTGTTAGTCTGAATCTGCAAAATCGGCGAGGAATCCTGTGGCACTATCTTCAGTTCATCTATAAGGTGCCACAGGACTCCTCACCAACATGGCCAAGTGAAACTTTTGTGATTCCTCCTGGGGGCAATGGGGACATGGGTCAGAGACCTCAGAGCAGGGGGCTTCAATGTTTTGAAAGTGCAATCCAATATGTACCTTATGTATAAATACCCTTTTCCCACTTCCTTCCTACCCCTTCTCTAAGTCCCAGACCCTGCACCCTCTGTCCTCCCTCTCTTGCCCATCCTCAGTCTCTTTCACCAGCCTGGGACAGAGGGTTGGGTGCGCAGGCTCTGGTCTTGGCTTAAGGGATCTGGAGTGTGAGAAGGGCTCTGAGCATCTCTTGGAGCATGCATCTAGGATGGTGTTCTAGGTGCAGGCTTTGAGAGGGTATTTGGATGCAGGGGTGCTCAGAGCTAGGATAAGGGCTTGGATACAGGACTGGGTTCATGCCTGGGGTAGGAGTTAGGGATGTGTACTCCATTTTGGCACTGCTGGTCACTCCTAGATGATGGTGGAGTGGGGCTAAGGCAGGCTCACCCATGCCCTTGCCCTATAACACTCCCTAAAGCTGCAAGAAAACTCAATCCCATGTCCTGTGGAGAAAGGATACAGAATGGTATATGGGGAACCCTGACATCAGCACCCCTCTTTTTCCTCCCCTGC